ATGTCTGTCCACCTCTCGAGACAGTTCCCGTCGGGGATGAGAGCGAATGCAACGATTCCATTGTTTTCTCGGCGGCGTACTCCTGGAAGAATCCAACGACGATATTCAAGATAATGACAGCGCAGATTACTCCGCCCTCAATCCACGACCGAATTCCGAAGCTGACCGCCATGGCCAGAATCAACACCTGTTACAAACTGTATTAGATTGGGCCTGAGCTGAGTTCCGCGATATTAACACGAAGGATAGAGAGTGTGGGGTCTTACTAGCATCATTGCGTTGGCAACCTGGCGCACGAGGATCTTGATCAACGATACGCCTTCACCTTCGTCCAGTTTGTTGGGTCCATATTCCTGCAGGCGACGAGCCGCTTCTTCGGGGGACAGACCTTCGTCCACCCCAGTACCGAGTTCCTTGATCACGACTTCATAAGGTAGCGTATGAGCTGGCTGGCTTAGTGGGCTGCCGCCCGACCCAGAGATTGGGGGGACGTCATGCTTCTCGTCTGCCATTGGAGATTGCTCTCAGGTGAGTAGATATCCGTGATAACCACCGAGCTGTTTGCTCTCTGACTCCTTTGATTGTCAATCACTGGATAGTTGGAAAGAAATGTCCCAAAGTGGGGAGGAAGGTGGTACTTTAGTTTTCAAGCGAAGGCTCAGAGTCTGCTCGCGTGAGAAACCACGGTGTGTGGAGATCCCACAAGAGTCTTGGCCCGTGACTTCTAAAGTTTGATCCCCGCGGTTATCCTTGCACGTTGCACAATTCATTGGAAGAGAAGCAGTTACAGTCTTGGCGCCGAGGAATTAGCCGTCCACCTCGTGTTTGATAGGCACCGGACTCTAGTGGGGGCTCCTCTAACCGGAATTATCTGGGGTCTAGAATGCCAACAATTACTGCATACGGGATCGTATCTGCAAGCGCGGAACCGCCAAGATCTGGCAAGGCAAAATTGCCAAGTGCCAGGATATTGCGGTTGCGGAATGTTCCACCCTCTCATCATCTTTACAGACTTGCTCCATTAGTATGGTGAGTTTACCTCGTTATGCAAGCGAAATATGTGTCTTTTTTTAAAAAGCAATTGTTCCTCGGCGATTAGATGGCGCCAATGGACTCTCATGGAAGTGGCAAAACTCCGCGGGCAGGATCAAACCTTGGCGCCAAGAGTTGGCGCTAGACCCTTGGCAGGTGGAAGAAGCCGGGGTGCGGAAGATATTCCAGCAGAATTCTCCGTTGTCGGCCCTTATCTTGCACCGTATAGCGTCTATCGCTAAGGAGGACCTTGATATCCAATGTATTTGGCCTAATCTGCTAGGGTGAACCGAGGCTTCCCATAATCCTAGAGACAAAACCTGGATGAAGTTTACATAGTGGAAGACGTAGTCAAAAAGCCGACTAGATTGTTTAAGACTAACGTATAGAGTTTTCATTTGTGGACAATAGGGAGCAGATCGATATAGGGCTGATCAAAAAAGTACGACTTGACTGGGGTCTGATCGCATCCATGGATGCGATGTGATATCACAACACATCGCCCTCGTGCTCAAAAATGAGCAGCAAGTGAGACTTTCCCGACAAGGGTTTGACCACGCGAATTTTGAAATCGCCATGCCAAGTGTCTTACGCCAAGTAATCAATGATGATGCTTTTCCTTTTTTAAAGAAAAAAAACATGCCGAGTCAAACGCTCAATAATGTTCATTTGGATTCTCATTATTCAAGTGAGGAGATCGACACGCTTCTTGCGAGTCTCGGCAGTTCCAATACGAACAAGATTCGGAATGTCGGGTGGCGGGTACTACGTCAGACACAACAACTTTTACAGAGCATGTCACCGATGACTCACTATTGGGTAAACTCCATCTTCAATAAGTAGCGGGATAACGTTGTGGCTGCCAGGAAGCTATGGATTGGAAGGACTTCTCGACTCGTAACTACTACGCAGAACTTCGGAATGTCGGGTGGCGACTACTACACCAGACACAACGACTTTGCTTTCAAGATTTCCTGTCAAGCCACTGAACTAAGATTCAAGAAGACCGAGTGGCAATATTGAGTTAATTTGATTTGGAGGTGTTGCTGTATCGAATAGGTTTGACACATGGAACAACTCATTGCGAAAGGAATTGCAAGGAATCAGACCGTAATTATATCTTGACTAAGAGTGAGCTAGCTTGTAATTACACGTGAGAAGAGACATGCTTTTAAAGGATGGGAGACCCTTGAATATCTATTTCCTGGTCTCGACAAGTCACCGCGTCTTGCGTCGCGGTTGGAGCGCAAGAGGTCGTGAAGAACCGCACCTTGTCGAGTCAGAGGAAGCCTACTAGCTAGTATCATTCTTTATCTGGAGTAATCCGAATTGGTTTTCTTCAAGGCTGGTTTCTGATGGTTTGTCTTATCTGAAATTTTCTATAGCTCTTCTATTCCCCTAAGCCTAGGTAGCACCCATCTCTCGATACAGTAAGTCCCTTTGGCTAATTTTGGCTAAGTGCTTTTGGAGGACGGCGACGAGCAACATTAGACTAATTATGACCGTTTGTCTCATTTACTTTATATCTATGCTGGACCGGAGAGTGCTATTGGTCGAAGTCACCAGATCTGTATGTGCTTGACAAGCCGTATCGACATCATGTGGGTAAAGACTCTCGGTGTAACTGTACGTATGGCCCATCAGCACGCATTGACAACTCTTTATTTCGAGACCCCTATTTCTGGCAATTTATATGGGGTTCTGACTAAGATAAAAAAAAAAATCCATGAATGTAAATATAGGTGGATCCATGTCTTGGTTCATCCTAACAAAGACCAAACGCCTTATAAAATTGAACTCTCAATATAGTCCATTCCGAGTTTACCCCAGTAGTATCTTCACCCGGTGAATGTTTGATATCAGGATATTTTGGAAACCGGAGAAGTTCCCCATTTTCATGTAAAGGCTTCGGGGACTTGAAAATCGAAGAAAATCAACCCAGCTAGCTGCATATAAGCCATTCCCAGACCTAGTTCCTTAGTAGTTCATGGTTCCCAAACTGCGCTGATGGACTCGTTGATTGGGGTGAAGTAGATGGGGTAGTCTGTGGAGTCGGTGGTCTCGGTGGCAATTGAAGCGTGGGCATGCTCCCCTGAGGCGGGTCCATTTCTGTATGACTCAATCTGGCATCTTGCGCCTCGCTTTGTGCATCCGTTTCAATTGTCGTGGTCGACTTGAAGGCCAGCTCCGTACGCTTATTCTGGCGCTGTTCAAGGCACTCGGGATCAAGTGAACGCTTTTGGCCAGATTGCCGGTCTCGGTAAGTTGCTTTGCACACCTTAGTCTTGATCCTTACACACAGTGGATAGAACTTACTGCAATCCTTCACATATATGGACAGACAATTGGACATCCAAGGAGCTTTTGCCTCTGCAAAAGTAGACCATTCTGATGTTTTGCGAATTGATGCGGCCAATGATTGTAGATGTCCGTATGGTAATTCGCGGAATGAAGTGTAAACAAAGAAAAGGAAGCCAGAGACGCCACAGCTTTCATAAATATACTCGATTGAGTGGTATTTCAAACCATACAGGATCGCCTTCCGAGCACCTTCGGTAGGCTGTCCGATTTCGTCCAAATACTTACTTACATATCCTGACCCTCTGTTATCTACATCTCTTGCGTCTTTATTCAGAAACTCATGGCGAGGCTTTTCGCTATGTTTTCCCGCCCAATCCAGGTAGTCCTTGGCGAAAGAATACCGTGCGAGGCCTGCCCGGAACTTTGTGGTCAAGCTAGAACCGCGCGCTGCTAGCTTGATGTCAACTAGGCGAGGATCTAGGCCTGTCCAGTCTTTTCCTTGGGATATCGCATCCCGTTCATTCTTATTTGTGAAGGAGTGTATCTTTTCGGATTGCCTTTAGAGTTTTCCCATGAATTTCTTCATGTCTGATTTGATTGCCTCCTCGATAGGGGACTGCTCGGGCTTAGCGAACGTGGTCGGTGACGTGGAGAGTGTGCTGAAGGTAGAGATTCGGGGGGGTTCTCGACCATCGTGGATATTGCTTGCTTATTGGCCGCTTCCATTGTTTGTTGAACCAAGTGTATCTAGCTGTTCGGGATAGACTGAAGGCAATGAGCTTGACTCTTCCGGTTCAGTAGATGGCTGGCGACTGTTGCTATCACTAGACAGTGGAGATCGCAGAGCTCGCTGTAGACTGTCCAGCGCAGATTGTAGTTGTTGGTGGTGATGCGAAAGCAAATTTCCAACCTTGATCCTAGGTATAGTTGACGATACGAATGTAGCAGCGTGGACAATCCCATCAACAGGGCTGGTGCTGTCCATCATGATAGAGTTAAATCATATTATACATCGGCGGGGTATTGAGGTACAAAATAGAGGATTGATGCTTCAGTCTTAGCATTGGGTCGCGATGCAATGCCAAGATTGAGGGACATCTCGGACGTTGGTACGCCTCAGCGCGTACGCCTCCTGTACGCGCCGTCACGCTATCACATGATCAGCAGCATTGCCCCTAATCATCGTTCCAGGACCCCTCATTCGCACCGATGCCTGCGACTATTCGTGCACGTGACATGGGTTCGTGCCGTCGTCCTAGACCTTCCTTGGGGGGCTACTGATGCAGAGGCGTGCTGGCTGACAGAGAGTAGATATCTGATTGAGGTTCTTCTTCTGGAGAGGGGTGCTTACTTGCTTGGGCCGCCGGAAAAGCTCGCCAAGCGCACCTGGGCAATCGAATTGGCTTAGCACCCTATTAGTTGCAGGAAGTGGCGTCGATTTGTGTCAATTGGTCAATCGCGGAATAGGCGCGATAAATAATTACTCCATGCTCGGATTGTTAGGGTAATTTTCTTGTACATTTCTAAAAAAGTAGTTGCGGGTAGGCGAACTAAGGCATGGCGACAATGAAAAATGGAAATTCCCAAAGAGATGAAGCCTCCATGCAATATCGTTAAATTCAAGGCTATCTCTTACCATACTCATTACATACATGTAGTCTATCCACTCACCCACAACTGTGCCTATACCACTCAAGAGTGAATCCAAGTCGCTCAGGCTCTCCCGATGAAAGCTTACGGAGAAGTCCACGCTTCTCCAGGCCCTGACAGTATGCCTTTCTCGAAGAGAAATCCTCTGCGTTTTGATCGATATCACAGTTGTGGTCATTCGATTCTCCGCTATTGACTGCTTCGTGGTTGGTTGCCTCGCCATTGCTCTCTTTCTCGTTGGTTCTTCCAGGGAGGAGCGTCTCTGTGTATGCAGCCAACTCCGCAATCGTGGCATACCTGTTGTGCCAACATTTGTCGATAATATTGTCAATTAGTGGATCACCATCTAGCTTCGGAAATTCCATGTTCTGTAGTAAGTCCACGACCTTAGGCCTATGCTCCCTAGGATCCTCGGTAAGACATCGATCTCCATAAACTTCAAAGCCGTAGTTTATCAGGTAATACAAGGAACCGACGGCGAATTGCTCCGTTCGAGGACCCAGGAAGCCGGAAGTTCCACGTCGTCCTTGGTCCGGCTCCCTGCTACTGAGTATTCGGCCGTACGGGGCAATGCAAGCTTCGAAGTCTGACCCGATTACCGCCGTGTAATCAAAATCAGACAGTTTCAATCGATTACGATCAAGCAAGACATTTTCAGGTCGTAGGTCGCCATGGGCAAGGTTGAGCGATTCGAGGAAAGCGACCGCCTGAGCAAGGTCGTTCATCCATTCCTTTCGTAGGGGTAGAGCTTCCAGCTTTTCCACCTTGGTAACAATCGAACTTTGCTGGTCTCGGATATGATTGTCTTGTATTCTAGAACAAAGGGACGCATCTTATAATGTTATAATGTGGTCAGTAAGCAAACCTATCAAATTCTAATAGGGGTCGCACCTCGCATGTACTCGAGGAAAATGCCGTTGTCTGCGTAAAGGAAACATTGCACTATGGAAGGGCAGGGCGGATGTTGCGAAAAGATCTGATAAATCTTAACTTTCTTCCGAAATTGCTCTTCCTCAAATTCTCCGGATTTTGGGACCTTAACCACGATGCGAGAATGGACCTCATACACGAAGGAGATGCCTCCTTTCCAGACCCAGTGCACATCAGGGAACTGGTGTTGGATACTCATGCTAAGAGTAAAATGCGAGAAGGAATATTGCGAAAAGCAGAGGCAGGTAAAACTATGTGCATATGAGAGAGGTGAGCAAAGAGAAGAAGGGGAAGACCAGGGGTATTTAACGTTACATGATCACACCGCAATTGTTGTAGCCATAAAGCTCCATAACAGTTCCGACGGAATTAATTTCTACTCGAAAGGGTGATACCTGATCTCAACCGAGAGCCCTACAAGCACACCTGTCTTCCAGGACCATTTCTAATTAGACCCCGACATGGTTCAAGTAGAGCAATTGTCGATGAAAGTCAGCTACGATAGATTTCCTTTTGTCAAAACCTTGGAGGCAAACAAAGCTTCTCGGGCTTGTTTTGCCAGCGATGAACAGCAAGAAAACAGGTAGACGGTAGAGGAAATCCGATAACTGATGATTTCAAATCGTTTCAGAAGTGGGCGTCGACAATCCAATCCAACATAGTCAGGGAAATGTAAAAGCAGCCAAACCCAAGGCAAAACTAACTTGAAAATTCACAGGTCCGCCGTTCACAGATACAGTATATTTCCACCAAGAACGACGGGGAGATGATGGCATGATACAGCATACAACTTGGTAGTATCTTATATGCAATGTCCTATGTCGTTCCCTGTCCTATATCACACCACATCTCCTAGATATATACATCGGTAGAGTATTATATAGTATGTATCTACATCTACATCTACATAGATCTCAGTACATCCACCAAAGTACATCAACCAGGGTACACAAACAACCCCAGCGACCTCCGACAAAGCGCATGTCCTCAAGTCCCACAAACACCCTCCCCACGCACAGTCCACAGCCCCCTGTCCGAACAGGCAATATGACACGCGCTCTTGCTACGATCTACGATCTGATCTGATCTGATCTGATCTGCGCTCCTAACCCTTTTCAGACCTCCTTCTGCGGCTGTCTTCATTTTCTGGGTTGATGCTGGATGTATTCGTGTCAGGTCGTGCATGTATTGTACTACTGTATGACTCCGCGTGAGATCTAGATCTGGTGTGAGGCGGTTCTCGGGTCTTCTTGTGCTATCTTTTGTTGGGGTTGGTTGTAGGTCAGCTGGATGGGATGTATTGTGTACGGAATAGGAATACATGTAGTTTGCATTTCATTAGAACTTGTTGGCTGCTGGCCGCCATTGTTGGGTTTGTTGGAATATGACCATGACTGGGACGTATGACTGGCGTTTCAAGTCAGAGAATATCTATCTTAGAATCTACCTAGGTATATGTTGGAGGTATTAAAATACAATGCTAAATCTATATCTCATTGTAAGTAACCGCCCAAGCCCTTTCTATACAAAAACAGGGTCTACCCAAAACCTAGTGAAGAAAAAGAAAAGACCAAAGGTATAAGAACTAGTACCTAAATTGATAGGGCGATACTTTTTCAAACTAGATACCAGAATCGAAAGGAGATCCAAATCCAAGATCAATAGTGACGAACCAAAAGAAGACCTGGCTGAACCCGAGAAGTAAAAGAAAAAAGAAAAAAGCGACTGGTCAAGAAGGATTAGGGCTCAATGTGCCAGACATCTTCCAAACTTATAATCCTGCGTGGATGTCGTGCTCCGGTGAAGGTGAAGGTGAAGGTGCTCAAATTCAGATATGGGGGGTATAGGGTGGGGGAAAAAAAGAGAGGGAAAAACAAAGAGGGCCGGAGGAAAATGTAAGTCAAAATGACTTGGATGAGAAAAGAGGAAGCGAAATGGTAAGAAGAAATATAGATAAGAAGTGAAATGAAAGAAAGCTGCTCAACAGCTTACGCCAAAAGCCCAACCCGAAAAACAGGCCATGTATCTCCAAAAGACAAGAGAAACAGTCCATCGTATCACACCAAACCAGATTTATCCCTGAGGAAAACTCCAGCCGGGCGTAAACCCAGGATAAAACGCTGAGTCATGTGCCTGGAATTGGAAATCCCCCATCATCTCCGTAGAAAGATTCCCGGCAAGATGATGGGGATTCGTATGAGATTCAGTCATGAGGCCGGGCGGCAGCCTCGCCACAGGTTTAACATCCTGCTGGGGAGTGCCGGCATCACAGCAGCCATCCAGGACGTACGGGAACGGGGGCTCGTGGTGCGCATGTTGAGGATGATGCGGTAGCGCGGAAGGCGCAGAGGGCAGATCAACATGGGGCGCGATATCAGCGCCCATGTCCGGCGCACTCATAGACGACCGTTGCTGTAGCGCCATTAGATCGTGGTACCCTGCGTCTGGGTAACTGTAGCTCGTCTGATGGATGGGCTGGAGCTCCCATTGTTGCCAGCTTGTGGTGGTGGCGGTACGGCTGGGCACGGAGATGGATGTTGGGATTGGACATGGTGGGCGAGACAGAGTTGGCGAGGGCTCTGGGGGTGTTGTTGGCTCTGGTGAGGGCTCTGCTGTGACGCTGCATTCGGTGGACGTTGATAGCAGTCGTAGGTAGCGCAAATCCTCCGAGTCTTCGTCTGGCTCATCGGCGTTCTCTTCAGCTTGTTTGATTAGCCCTAGGCGGTCGAGGATTGCGTGTGTTAGGGGGTGTCCATCTGGGGCTTCGACGAGGGGATCGCCTGGGAAGCCTTCGTTGTTGATGCAGAACTTGTAGAGTTTCTGGAGAGCTTTCACGACCAAGGAGTGGTGGGATTCGAGCATTTCGACGAATCTGTGTGTGGTTTGTCTATGAGTTTTTGAGGATATGCATGGCTTGAGCTTCTGTGTGTGCACTCACCCTCGAGAGTATACTTTGGTCTGAGTGGCCTTTCGTTCGCGGAATAGACAAGGGTGGTTGTATACCGAGCAGCGATTGCAAGGTTGTTTCCCATCACACTAAGATGGGTTAGTCAGATCACAATCCCCATGTTATATCAGCCGACATACCTTGGTCTTCTTCACGCGACAGCGATCACAGGCCTTCAAAACATGCTTACGCTTGACCCGGAAGACGCGCTGGTCGCGCTTGTCCTCGCCAGTCCGGGCCCGATGTTCCAGTTCCGATAACGAAGCCACAGCTGCAAAGTCGTCAATGCTATGCGGGAAGCCCTTGGGGCGAAGCTTTGGCTGCCACGACATGCTGGATTGTATCATATTGGAAACTCCACTAGAAACCAAGCAAGGGAGGTAGATATTGCAATGTAAGAGTAAAGGTGGAGAAAGAGGGAAGAGAGAGCAAAGTTTCAAGATGAGGAAGAGAGGGAGAGAGGAACCTTAGAAGCTTTGGCCAGCAAAGTAAAAAAAGAAAACAGAAGAAAAAGAAAGGAATCGAGCAGGTGGGGTGGATGATAATGAAACGAGCGTTCAGCCGCCAGGGCCAAACGTTGATATCATGATTATTAAAGGAGTTGTTGTCCCCCGCAGTGGGTGAGGAGAGACTGTTCAAAGCGTTCGAGGGTGACGAGGGTGACAAGGGTGGTGACATGTGGTAGATCCCCGTATGTAGGCGTGTAGGCACTTAGGCGACTGTTTAGGTACCTAGAGATCAGTACAATGACACGGTCCGAGCCGTGAGTCCGTGAATTAGCTAGCAATTGGGCAGGAAAGGATAGAGAGGATCAAGCACAGGTAATATTGTCACACGATCTTCCCCTCGAATGCTGACACTGCACGTCAGAGACACACGTGCCTGGAGATTGGGAAAGGCCGAGATTTGTGATGAGACGATGTCCAATCGTTTGGTTAATCTGCATGAAGAGGTCAATGCGAGATAAAAATAAAAAAGACAGTCCAAAAAGAAGGTGAAAAAGGACATCCTTGCCAGCTGCACCGAAACGTGGTACAATGTGATATGCCAGAATATGTAGATTAAACTGTCAGGCTCTCTCACTGCAAAGAAGAAGTTGAAGCTAAGAGGAGAAGAGGAGAGAACAATAGGAGGCTGATACAAAGCGGGGTTGATGATAATCCCAGGGCTCTTCTCTCCTTTCCACCTTTCCACCTTTCAACTTTGACTCTTCTAATTCCTTGCGAACTCACCCTGGTACTGCCTGCATTCTCGCACAGAATCAGAGCAGCCCTAATCCGAACAGTTCTCTAGGCTAGATCTTTGCATTGATCAACTTCCCTTCTGTGTGTGTGGCAGTGTAAGCATGTGTGAGGTATACTAAGTATACCTACTAGGAAGCACAGTGCTCAGCTCGAGCTGCAATCACCATAGAGTGTGTCACTGATCTACGGTGTACACTTATCTGCACTTCTCTCCTCTTTCCCACCATCCCTTACGATATCGTCTGAACAGAGCATCAATCCTGAATCCCGGGTTTGCCACCGTCTAGACCATGGAATGCAATCAAGTCCATGGATCTGTATCAGATCTGTGCAATGCGTGGATATTGGTTTGTCGAATAGTCCGTACATGGACCATCTGAAGGTCTCTCAGCTGCGAGACAGGGAACAGGGAACAAGGAACAAGGGACGAGGACAGAGACACGGACACAGTGTGATTCTTTCTTGATTCTTTCTCCCCGATCCCATAGAAAGAAGATATGAACAATTCCATGTAAAAATTGGCCACGGCGTGTACAAGAATGGGATGGACTATCGACTATTGATTGCTGTATGCATATTTTCAAAAGCAAAAAAGCAGACATACAAAGCTCGCCCTATGGAACTTGGTATGAGCACCTGCATTGGAATGCAGTCCACTCGTTCACCGACAGATTCCAATTTCAAGTGCGTAGAGACCACGAGGCCATAAGATTTCTTTGCCTTGGCCTGGCAAATGGAAAATGAGGGATGAAAAAAGCAAAACAAGGGTAAAAGCAGGGGAAAATGCGATATGTAAATAGCAGGGGGATATACTCCATATAGGAAGGAGATGTAAAAGCCCCTCGTTTTTGGGAGACAGTTGGCGTCAAGGATTGAAGCCCGATCATCC